GTAGTTTTGGAGAATACCCATTACCCAACAACTTGTGGACCTCCAAACGGCTCCTCAGTTGCATCTTTAACTGACCAAGATGATTGTTTGTACTGAATATTGATTCCACCTTGGTCAATAATGGGGGAAAAAATACCAAAATACATATGTTTTTAAAAAAATTCTCAAAATACACACGTTATGAATAAAATTCCCAATCTACGCATGTTTGGGCATTCACCGCGGCAAAGAAAGACGGTGATTGCATCATCGTAGCAGAGGAAGACAGTGATTGCATCACCGCTGTAGAGGAAGGTGATGAATGCTTCACCGCGTTACCCGACCGCGGTGAAGGCCTGTCCTGCGTCCAAACTTTAAACAAACGTAACTTTGTGCTCGGTTATCCGATCGTAGCAAAAAAAATTTATTCCGCATAACTTTTCGAGATCTTGCAAGCCGCAAACAGCCATAGGTCCCGCCTTCGTCCCGAAAAAACGTAGTTTGCTATCCCGAACGAGCCTTTTTTCGATTTCGTCAAACTTTGAACGCCCATAACTTTGTGCTCCACAATCCGAAAGTCATGAAATTTTTTTTGATTTCACATAAATTTTTATGGACTACAATTTTTATCATAGACATAATTTCGGAATGTACCCGGATTCCTGAAAAGGGAAGGTAAAGTTATTCCCAAAACCCTGTATATCCAAAAATAATTCATTTTTTCAAAATTCTCTCCATCAAAAAATTGTGGTCCTTAAAAAGTTATGTGAAATCAAAAAAAATTTCATGACTTTCGGATTGCGGAGCACAAAGTTATGATCGTTCAAAGTTTCGACGCAGGTCAGGCCTTCACCGCGACTATGTAACGCGGTGAAGCATTCACCGTCTTTCTCTACAGCGGTGATGCAAGCACTGGCCAATCACCGCCCTCCTCTCCTGCGGTGATGCAATCACCGCCTTTCTCTGCCGCGGTGAATGCCCAAACATGCGTAGATTGAGAATTTTTTTCATAACGTGTGTATTTTGAGAAATTTTTTTAAAACATGTGTATTTTGGGATTTTTCCCCAAAACAAGCTAAGTTGCTAGTGAGCCTGAAATTCTTGTGCATCCAACCACATTAATTAAAGAATTGTGTCTGCTAATGGCGTCAATTTACAATCACGAAATTTTCTTCTCCTTCAATCTTGCTTTTGTTGCTACATTAATTTACACCAGTTCTTGATGAATTGGCTTGGGGTTGTGGATACGTCTGGAGATCCTTTACTAACTGTATAGCTGAAGGTGTTAAGCTTTCAACTTTGTGATGTTAATTGAATGGAGTGAATAGAGAAATGCTGAATTTCTTGTTTGTGTATGACAGTAGTCATTAGCTGTTCAGGTTTCAATGGTATTTCCTTTTCTATCGTTGGCTTGTTGCTCAAGTATATGCATAGAGAGATCTTTTTTCGACGGCATAGAGAGATTCACAGAGGAGGCTTGGAGGGTTTGCTGGCATGTTGCATCTTCTGTGTAAATAATCAAATTTATCATAGGAAGCCATGATGATGCTTCTTTCTAGCAGTAACAGGGTTTCATCAGTTCCTTTGTTTCCTTCTGCAGTAACTCAGAGCCAAACCTGTAAGCTTTATCACTTGAATGGAGTTTGAGACCTTCTACTACAGTCTGTTGCTTTTATATACAGTCTGTAATTATTGTCTTCTGGGTTCTTGAATGCAACAATGTGTGGTATATGACGTGGTTGTGATATGATGGAATCGTTGGCGACATTCTGAACCCCTACCTGCCGGAGAGTCTGGAGATGGAGGCAGTGGCATTTGATGAGGGGGAACCCGTTGAGCCGGACGTTTCCGGGAGGAATTTGGGATTGGATTCAATTAACGCAGGCCTTGCTAGTGGCTGACGCAGTTGTACTGATCCCTCGCTTTTCAATAACACTACTATTTCCGACATTGTTGGCCTCATCAAAGGTGATGGTTGCGTGCACATCAGAGCTATTTCCACCACTTTCTTTGCTTCTTCTTCCGTGTATTCATCCCGACATATGGTTTCATCTACCAGTTCTGAATGCATTCCACTTTCGTACAGTTTCCATGCCTGTTTAAATCGTCGGACCATTACTAGTTAAAAAAACGAAAGATGGATGGTGTAAGTATCAAGCCTGAACTCACTGCTCAAAGGGGACTTAAGTACCTTCTTCAGCAGATACTCAGCTATTTGATCTTGGCTTACTTCACTGCTCTTTTGGCCACTGATTATTTCAAGAACTACAACACCATAGCTGTAAGTGTCAGCCTTCTCTGATAACTGGCCATACAATGCATATTCAGGTGATGTGTATCCCCTGCAAAACAAAAACAGATGAATCAAAATTGTTGACATATTGCAAGACCGAAAATTCTTCAATCATGAAAAGGAACAGGTCCTCCAACTTACAATGTCCCAGCAAATTTGGTGTCAAGATGAGTCTGACTCTCTGGTAGAAGCCTTGCCAGCCCGAAATCTGCAATCTTGGGTTGAAAATCATCATCCAGAAGAATATTGCTGGTCTTGATGTCTCTGTGTATAATGCACATATGGAAATCTTCATGTAAATATGCCAGACCCCTCGCTGTACCCAGTATTATGTCAATCCTTTGCTTCCAGCTGAGACTACCTTTTTTATCACCTGCCACAATGAAATCAAACCTATTACTTCTCTACCCAAATAAACCGATACTCTGATGCGCCTATACATGAGTAACTCCGTACCAAATAAGAACTTGTCGAGACTGCTGTTGGCCATGTACTCATACACAAGAAGAGGCTCCGGTCCACTGCTGCAGCAGCCGAGAAGGCGGACTAGATTCCTATGATGAACATTGCTTATGATCTTCACTTCACTTTGAAATTCCTCCTTTGCTCTGCGACTTTGCCCGAGAGCAAGTTTCTTGACTGCCACCACTTTGCCATTCTTCAAAACCCCCTAGTTAAGTAATCAACAATGTTTACATGAAAGAAAAAGAAACTTATCAGCTTCTCCAGGGTGGCAGCTTAACTGCTGCTTAGTAAAATCAGTGTCAAGTCACGCAAAAGCAAATTCCTGACCTTGAAAACTTCACCAAATCCTCCTTCTCCCAGCTTATGCTCCTCATTGAAGTTCTTAGTTGCTAATTTCAGGTCCTTGTAACCGTAACTAACTGGACCTTGCAACTCAGTTGCTCCCAATATGTCACCTTTCGGCAAGGCCTTCTGTCTCCTAGACAGCTTATACCACAGAACTATGGCAGCTGCAAGTAATAGGATACCACCTCCTAGCCCTCCGACCACTCCGACAATTATAATCTTCTTGCTCGAACCTCCTGCTAACCATTTTACGAAACAAAAAGGCTTTCATATTACTGTCTGAAACAGCCGCCAATCAGTAGGAAAGGAGAGTAAAATCCACCCACCATTTCGTAAGAAGGGCAAAAGATCAGTAGTTTGATTATCCCGGAAGAAAGGGGAGTTGGAGAACCTAAGAAAACACCCCACGTTGATGGACCTGGCAGCAGTGTTTGAAAAACATCTTTGGACATCAGTGAATCCCAGTTTCAAGCAATCTTGGCAACTTTTCTGGCTGATGGTTTCAACGCATTGTGCAACACCATATACCGTCACATTCCCATCTCCACCACCACCACCACCACCAGGCACCAGTTCTCTCTTGCTTGCTGCATAGAAGCCATTGATCTTCGGCGTGGCGGTTATAAGATCTGACAGCAGATGTTCCACACCTTCAGTGTAAGCATTGTTATCCTTTTTCTCTGTGGTCTGGTTCCCGCATACCCCGCTGTGCCCATCCTGAGTGCTCTGGTCATAGAAGCTGTTGCTCTCGTACCTTAACAAAGCCCCAGAGATAGAATTCAATAACCCAGAATAAAAGAAAATATACCCGATTCCTTCAAAGAAAATTACGCATCAATTTGAGTTGGGTAACAGCAAAAGTGGAGAATTTTGTCTCTCTGGAGCTCTAATTTTCGGAATCTGATTACTCAACTATGTACTTGTGTTGAATTGGGAATATTGTACTCACCTTAGGAAGCAACCGTCAAGGATGACGCGGGCACCATTAGCAGCAGAGCAATTGAGGATTCTGGTAACAGCATCATTGAAGCAGGCAAGGCAATCAGCTGAGGATAAGTAATTCCGGCACTGAACCATGGTGTAGACTGGCTCTTGACCAGCAGGCTGCTGGGCTGTTGCGAAATGCTTCTTCCCGCCATTCTTGAGCTGATCTCTGAGCTGAGAGAAGCTGGAATTGCGGTTGGCAGCAAACAAGGGGAAGGTGCCAACTTTATACTGGCTACATCCGATGCTCAGCAGATTGATTCCTGAGTCACTAGACACCTTCTGGATCATGAATCCCCATAAGAGAGAGAATATACAGAGAACCCAGAAAGCTGTTTCTGTGGCTGCCATTGTTCTTTGTCCTTCTCACTCAGTCATCGTCTTCTCATGTTGTTAAGTCTGGGATATGGGACAAACCATGGTGGTACCGGGTACGTTATGAGTTTTCAACGGTGCGAATTTCCAGATATGACCTGCCTACCATTCTTGATTTGGATTTGTTTACTTGGAAGGAGTGATGGAATTGGGTTACTCATTCTGCTGATGTTGTACTTTATTGCTCCAAGTTGACCATGGAGGAAAATATAGAAACATACTGCATTCGCCATTCAGCGATCGAGCAGGTAGGGCCGTAGGGCGGCTTTAGTAAAAGTAAACGTTGTCCGCGTCATTCTTCTTTTAATGTTCGCCGTATTCGATTGGATAGAAAACAGAGTGACAGAGATAGTTCAAACAAATACAGCAGGAAACAGATATGCATATATCATTCATACCATATCATGGAAAATCGGTCATGGTATCTTGTTAATGACCAATATGATCATTATATTCCCAAATTTTAAGGATGTTCTACTATCACTTAAATATTTTTTTTCTTATCATAAACTATTATCGGAGGTTGAATAATCATATTTCCAAATTTTACATGCATGTATCCGCCGCTGGCTGTGAACAAAATTCACCAAAATGGTTCGACTTATTTACCTCCACGATCGCTATCACAGGCAAACTTAGAAAAGCAAAGAGCTTATAGGGAGAGAGTGAGAAGGCATAGGAGGTTGCCTTGGATGATGATGTCTGGGATGCTGGGTTGGCCATGCTCGCACTTCTCGAAACTCATGTAATTTGTAAACAAGAAACTTGTGTGCAGAGTAACAAGGAAAGAAATTGTAGAGTAACTCTGGTTTCAAACCGCTACTTGTCAGTTTGTCATTTCAATGCAACTATAAGCCAGTGATTGGTACCACATTATAACCAAGGTCGAGCCAACTCCTTTCTTCAACATTTTGACCAACATTGTAAACACCTAAAGACCAGACTACTGAGTAACTGATAAATGGGAAGTTAAAAGGCTGCAACTCATTCATTCCATCTCAGTGGATGCTAAAACTCTGACCATGTATTGGCAGCCGGAAGAAGCCTAGTTCGAGGTTCCTAATAAGATACAAGTCAACTAGTTTAGAGTAGGATGTAGATGCACTTACTCCTCGACCCAAAATGGGACAGGTCTGTCTACCGTTGTTATAAGTCCAAGCTCTGCGGCACAACTGAAACTTACATTTAAACAGAGGATTGATGGCCTAACTGCTGTAGCTGGTGAACAACGTGAGACATTCTAGGCCGCATGGATGGTACATGTTGCGTACAAGCATACACGAGGTCCACAACCTTCTGAATGGTACCGGCTTCTGGAACCTCCGAAGAAGAAGATAGAAACACATGGGGATCTAGGAGCTCAGGGTAGTGGTTTGCTTGTACTAAAGGCGTGGCCCACTCAAATATGCTTTGCCAACCCACCGAATCAACTGCCTGTGCAGGTCGACGCCCTGTGACTATTTCCAGCAGTAGCACCCCAAAACTGTAGACGTCGCTCTTCGTTGTAAGCTCGTTCTGGTAGACAAATTCTGGAGCAAGATATCCATATGTGCCACCAGCCATCACTGTTCTCTCCTGCATTCCTTCCCATGGAACAAACTTTGACAGACCGACACCCATTAGGTGGGCACCAAACTCCTCGTCAAGCAGCACGTTACTGGCTCGGATGTCTCTATGCACAACATGTGGCTTCACCTTGTCGTGCAAAAACCTAGTTGATACAAAAGCAGAATGAAAGGTTAAATTTGTCAATAAAACATGGAAGGACAATGCCTGGAAACCTACGGAAGAACCAATTAGATAGGTGCAAGTTAATAGCAAGCTTCTAGCAATTTCTGCGGGTGGTGCCTAGTACCTCTAGTTGATCAAATGACAAATTTCTAAATCGAATACTCCAATTTCTAACTTCACACTTTTAGAATTCAATTTTGAATTGACATGGTGTTTTCTCTACTTCCAATTCTACCACTTATTCTCCATAAGACTACAAAGGTTGTGAGACCATATTAGTCATTTCACACTTAACTCACATATTTTAGTGACAGCATCAATTGTAAAAGTCAAGAAATCCACCTAATCATTTCACGATCATTTACTTACTCGAAGTAATTGTTTCACAAATACGGACTCCGATTGCTACTATTTACTTCAGCTTATAACTTCTCCTATTGGCTTGGGTATTCAAGAAATAAAGTCCAAATGGTCGAACTTACGCAATTCCTTGAGCAAGAGTTGTAGCAATTTTCATCCTCATATTCCAATCCAAGCATCTGCCTCCCCTCGGCATGTGGTGTAACCACCTATCCAGGGGGCCATTAACAATGAACTCATAAACAATGAAGCGATCCCCATGGTCATAGCAGCAACCTTTGATTGACACCAGGTTTGGATGATGAAGTCTTGCAGCCCTTCCAATTTCAGAATAGAACTCCTTCTTCCTCTGGAAACTAGACCTCTTCAACCTCTTGACTGCCAACTTGGATCCATCCGGCAAAAGGCCGCTATATGTTCCACCAGTTTTCGCATCACCATGAAGACGATTCCCCTCACTAAAATTCTTAGTTAGAGACCGAAGTTCCTCTTTAGTGTAGACTTTCCATGATGGAGGAACTAATGCGGAGGCAGCTGGATTAGAAACTTTCCGTGACTTTCTACTTTTCTTGCTGCGCCGATATACAAGGAGCCAAATCACAACAGCCAGTGTGGCAGTGAGGATTAGTCCACTGACAACTGCAAGAATGATGAGATACTCCCTGTGGCAGTGCATGTGGTAACATTTCTTCTCTGTAAAGCAGTACAGATGAACACAAAAAGAGAAGCATATCAATGATTTGTTTTTGGATGCATTGAATCTAGAGTTCAAAAATTGATTTGGTGTTTTGAGTGTAAGCTTATTAAGACCACGAGATAACAAACATTGTGAAGAATGCTAGTGGTGATAACAGGAGAAATGTGATTGAGAATAGTTCAGTAAGTGTCGAGTAAAAACATACCAGAGTCCACCATACAAATAGAAGCACGAGATGCATCGCATCTCTCTCCCATAACAGGAGTACTTCCATTCGTCAGCAGGGTACATGAATCAATCGCAGGATCTTTGTGGCATGATGCATTGCTACAGTGTGAAGGGAATATCACTGCACCAAATAATGAACGGTTCCAATGGGTTGTATTATCTGACCACTTCCATGTAAATCCAAAACTAGAATTTGTTCCTTTTCCACCAACCCAACAGCCATCGGTACTTTGGCCACACAACCCTAGAGCAAACTCAAGATCTCGATATGATGCCAGCGCTGCTAAGTTTCCTCCATGGCCTTCGCACCAACTTTCTGATTCCTCCCATGACTTTAAATCTCGGATGTACTTGAAGCACTTAGTTCTATTCATGTTGGTGTTCCAGCCAGATGGACACCAACCTGCCAACAAGAAAATATTACCAATCATATCAGTTTAAAGAAAGTAGCTAGAGGGGGGTTTTCTCTAACAGGCCAGTCTTCCCTATTTCAGCAAAATCAGACTGGGAAGGGGGATGCAAACCTACTCTATGTACATTGTAATCATTACCATCAGTGTTAAGCCAGAATTCCTACTTTGACAATTTCCACTATCCATTTCTGAGATGCATTTGCTAATTGATGAAGAGAAGCAACAGATAATTAATATTTCCTAATGTAAGACTTGAGCAGTCTATCCCCTGAACAAAACACAATCTTTGATACTTACTACACAAGTAATGGAGAACACATGAAGGAATACTCGGAGGAAGAGAACATTGGTGTTCCCTGCCTTAAACCCTAGATTAGAGGAGTTAGAATAATCGGAGTACGTTTTGCTTCTAGGATAGAGGAGCTGCCATAAAATTATCAAAGAGGGTTGGCGCATACCTCTGCCTACTTTAGTGCCTCCATTCGATGAATCCAATGGTTGACCTCCAACTGTCTGGTTATGTATCTGGACCTCCACAATCAAACATTTCCATATCAAGATATGCCAAAGACAACAAACAGATTGCGATTGAAGCGAAGAACAATATAAAGAAGCAGCCATGCGGCAAATCTCTCACCCCTTGGGATGCCGCAGCTTCGAAAACAGCACAGAGAGCGAAAATAGCCGAGAAATGCAGACCCCAAAGACCCATCTCCATCAGCAGCACTTCAAACACTAGCCGCCATGCACCCGAAACCACAAGCTAGTACCTCACTTACAGCTAGCAAGAAAATTGGCAAGTCGAACGCTTCGGCACAAGAGCAAGGAAAAGCAAAAACTTAGCCCTTCTCTAGTTCTCTTTCATTGAAGGAAACTTCGAATTTCAGCAGTATGCAGAGGATGAAAAGATTCTAAACTTGGAAAATTTCAGCAGTGACCTAAGGTATGGACCATCGAAAGTGGCCTATGCAACTGAACGGAGAGATAGAGAGAGCTATGCCGCGCTTGAAATTTCCATGGAGAGCCTCACATTTCTCTCGTCGTCGCCATTTTCTTCGTCCTCGTCTTCTTCTTCTTCCCCAGGCAGAGCAAGCAGAAGCGCGAGTCGGTCAATTAATGACTTCTGCGGATGTTAGGTAGTGTGAGCGGTGTTGGACCGTAAAGTTATAATTGCGGGCCCAGCTTAGCCCGGCCCATCTTTATTTTCTCCGATGCAATTTATGGTGCGCTGGTAAAAGATTCAGAAGGCCCACGTATTTAAATCCGTGGTAAGTCGAGTTTTGATTTAAATTGGTCTCAACTTGTTTATAAACGAGCTCGAGCTCGTGTTTAGCTTGTTTAAAAAATTATTGTTTGTGTTTGACTTGAGTTTGGCTCGTTAATGAGCTCACAAACTTTACTCAAAGTCGGTTCATCAATTAGCTTGCGAGATCGGCTCTAACTGAGGTATCATATAATTTAGTTAATAATTTATAAGTGTTCATATCAAGTTATTTAATAGTCGTATATGAGTAATCTATGATGCATAATTTCTCTTTAAATTATAAATGAGGCATATATGTTCAAATTCTTAAACATCATATGTGGTGACTAGTGAGATATAAAATCTAACAAACCTATGAAACATAAGCAAGCCAATGATAAAGTGATGTAGAAAACAAGTTATAACCCTAGAGATGTCTAAGTTCATATTCCAAAAGACTTTTTGATGGTAGCTACTCAAAACTAAATGCCCAAGTGATTAGAAGAAATAACATAAAGTAAAAACAATGGGTTGAGGTTCCCTAATGAATTCAAATAGCACACTAAAAGAGAGCAAAAGTAAGTGATGCAAATGGTGAAAGTAAAGCAAGTAAGAAACAGTTGTTTAGGAAGTATCATCTAGATCAGTATACATGCTTTCTCTTTGATAAGATGGATATACGCATCGATGCTAAGATAGCATCATATCCCTTCCACTATGACCATTCCCTATCCATGAATGTGCCTCTTGCGATAGAGATTTAACTAGCTAATGCATGTTTTCGCTTCATGCTATCAGCTAATTAATGGAATGTAAGGAAGTAAGGATAGAGGGTATTGGGGATCTTAACACATCAATCATCATCATCATTCGACTACCAGAGAGTTGTACTTCCCGTCCATACACGCCTAACAATGATGCCTACTAAACAATTGTAGTTTCCTAGACTCCCGTGGTAGTAGTATAATCAACACACACAGTAATGCATCATAAAAGATAACAAGCATATTAAGAACTAGACTGTCGATGCTCTAAGAAGGATCATCGATGCTCTAGAGCATCTCAATAATTCATGGAAAGCAATAGAATACACATAATAGAATCAGCACCCCAAACAACAACGGATTTAGCTACCCATGTGAGATTGAGGGAGAAGCATTGATGGAATCGTTCTCTCCTTAATCTTACAGAGCTTCAATTGGTTTTAGGGTAAAACGTTTTCTTTCTAATTGAAGTTGAGGATGTGTTTATAGTACAAGAACGAGGGGTTTTCTAGTCTTTTTCCTTTTAAAGTTGGTCAAATCCTTCCTCATCCAACTTGAAGTCAGTTTCATTCAACTTGTGGACGAAGTAGCTTGCTGGGGAAGCTTCTTGGAGGATTAGGGTTTGAGTGGCGATATATCAGCGGTTGGGGCCGTCGCTTATTTTCTTCATGGGCTGAACTCCTTAGCTCATGGACTATATCTCCTCGTGATTTGGAATTTTGGATGAGTCTTGTCCATGTTTCTTCCAGTGGTGGTTGGACCCGATGTTGGGCTGCCGCTGGTCAAGTCTTCCTCTATTAGGCTCATATAGTGATTCAGGTCTAATTGTACACATTCTACCACTCATTTTTTTTATAGTTTGACCTTGCTTTTCATCGTCTCTCAACTTATTTTATGCTAGGTTGTGCTATCTTTTATACATTTTAGGTCCTAGCATGTGTGGGAAGGTTAAGTACGAGTTTCGGGACGATTGGAGTTGATAAAGCGCCAAAAATTGAAGTAAAGTGAAGAACAGTCAAAGGTCAAAAATTGAAGTAAAGTGAAGAATAGTCAAATGAGGCTTGACTGTGACAAGTTCCAGAACACTTGGCGCACCTCACTGGACCCCGAGTGTTTCACGGTCGACTGACCGTGAAAATCATCCCCAAGCCATGATGTTGGACCAAAACGGCGTCAATGACCTGCATTTGGGTCCGATGTCACGGTTTGTGTTTAAACATCACGGCCGTGAACAGTGACCGTGAAAAGCGACTATCGGGTTGTATAAATAGAAGCCTGCTGAGAGAGAGAAAGAGGGCTTTTTGGAGAGTTTTAGTTTTCAAAATAATGGAGGGTTTCTAGTGAGAGATTAGGATTTCCTCTTCCTATTCTAGAGAGAGAAAGTACCATTCAAAGGAGGAAGAAGGAGACTTGGGCTTGACCTAAGCTAGAGGATTGAAGGTTTCTTCTTCTCAAGGGAGATTCAAGCAACAAGAAAGGAAGATAGTCATCTCTTCATGGTTCTTTCTCTCCTTTTTGTTGTTTTCCCTTGCCTAGCTATGGAATAGCCTACCTACTCACTTTGGTATTGTGAATCCTAGTCTAGATGTGTGTTAGGATATAAGAACATGACTATATTGTGTTGATTGTGTGTTTTATATAATATTTTAGGTATTAATCATGAATGATTGAGTGTTGCTTTCATTATCTCATTATTGGTCAAATTAACCTAGAAGGTGGAAATCCCTCTTTGGCCCATAGGGAGCTTGATCTCCTAGCCACTTGGGTAACCCCTTTTGGGTCGATCTAGGGCCAAAATCTCAAGTATCGGAGTAGTACCATGATCCCATTATGACTGGTCGCTCTCTGCCGTCCGGATTAAACTCCGAGGGTTAGGTTTTGCAATATTTAGTTGATTAGTTAAGAGACCTAGATTGTCTAGCCTACTGTTGTCATCCTTAGTCGAAAGGTTAAGAGAGTTAGTCTACTAACTTAATGCAACAATCCTTAATTGGTCAACTAAGAGAGTTAGGGTTTCCTTGGGTTGTTCGATTAAGAGAGCTAGGTTCGCTAGCTTATTGTAGCAATCCTTGATTGATCGACTAGGAGGGTTTGTTCCTAGCTTGTTACACTCACCTCGCGGTATATAAACACATCCTTCAGACTAGGGTTTCGTTCATCGATTCTTAACACGTGACTAGGGTTTCGTTAATTGTTACTCTCATATAGAATTCTCCTCGTTTTACTTTCCTTGCTTGTTTTCATTTGTAGTTTCTTTAGCTTTAAATAACCAAAACCGTTTTGCTAGATAACAACCTAAGCGATTGAAGTAGGGGTACATGGACCGGCTCTGGTTTGATAATTAAAACATACTTGCCCTATACTACACTCGACTAGAGTTTATACTTGAGCTCTAGTCGGGATTAATTCGCAATGTATCCGTGGCGAGCCATATAGCACTTCTAGTAGACTTCTCCGTCATTGGACCTCATCTTTATCACAAAAGCTCAATGTTCTTCTCTTTATAGCTCCTTTGGTCCTCCAGAGTTCTTTAATGCTTGATCTAAACTTCCTTAAGTTGCTTTGTACCTTTAAAACCATCAAAAACATACCAAGAAGGTATCAAAGAGTACAAAAACATAACCTAGGTCTTTTAAAGGCTCATTGATGAAAAAGTTGCGATTTGGATAAGAAATACTAGAGACAGGACTAAAGATGTATTGATATAAGGGGAAAATGTATCAAGAATGAGAGTGACGAACACTAGAAATAAAGTGTCATCATAAGCTATTAAATAATTAGATCATAATTTGCTATTTGAGGTGGCTCGGCCATAATGTTTAGCCCGATCATAGATCAAAACGAGCTAGCTCACGAGTTAAACTTTCCATCAAAACTTGGGTATAGCTAGGTTGGTTAAGTGTTTGCTAGGGGCCATTGTCCTAGATGGACACATTCAATTAAGGCTTGTTTACTTTCATCTCTATTTCCTATTTATTGTAGCAACATCAAACAGAACCTGATGGAAACGAAGCTACCATTCCTAAGAAACAAAACCTGAAAACCTGACCATGAAAACCTATTTAACTGAAACTTTTGCGGAATTCTTTAACTGAAACCTAAATGATGGTAGATTGTTTCAAATCAAGTAAGAAAGAGTTTAATGATCTAACTATTAAAAATGATAAAGTAAAATTATTAAATCTGAAAGTGAGAAGGAAATTTTATTTTATTAGAGAAGAAACCATATAGATATAAATTTTATAGTGACTTTTCGTAATCAAATCTAACATATCGATTACTATAAATTATGATATTTTTATATTTTTTAAATGAAATGTTTTTGTTTGAAATAAAAATGAATTCGTTATCAATGGTAAATTTTGCATAACTTGAGTAATGGTAACATTATTATTTTTCGAACTCAATGCCATGTAGTTGGTGCACGATTTCAATGATTGATTTGAATACATAGCATGTTTTATGTAATTTAGTTATTAAATTAAGGGTACATTTTAGAAGGTTTTCAACATGATTTTTAGTTCAATTTAATTGATCTGTACATATTTGAATATAACATTCCATATATATGAATTCTTTTTCGAATGAATTTTGCATCGTAGTTCATTTTGAATTGAAATGAATTATTGATTTATTTGGTTTTGAATAGTCTATAAGAGGAAAATCATATCTAATAAAGAAAAATTTGGTATATGAGAAACAGTAAAGGACTAAAATAAAAGGATTAAAAAATAATTGTGAGTAATGTCATTCAAATAATTTAGCTTATCGATAAGAAGAAGAAAGTTTTTTTGTTGAAAATATGAGAAAACAGACGTTGTAAACTGGTGGAAACAACAGAAAGCTACCACTTTCCATTTCCAGACTTGCGAACGAACATAAAGCAAAATGAAAAGTAAACAAATTTTTTTTCGTTTCCATTGCCAGATTTATTGAATGGAAACAAGAAATATGAAACGGAAACAGAAATGAAAGTGAATCTTAGTTGTGATACCAAGTAAATATGGTGGTGACTATATCGTTCATAGTTGTCACACGAGTTCATAGAAATGAACGTAAAGAATAACTCCAGTACATGTGACTATTGAATAGTTAAATGGGATAGAGTTCTA